TTTGAAGAATGGGATACACGGCTATGAGATAAATAATAATATAAATAATAATAAATAAATATTGATATAGCTATTGTATGACAACCATTCCCGCTCCCTCCCCCTTATTTTTTTAAAATTATTTTTATTTTTTCAAATTTTTTGTTTGTTCTTCTTTTCTCTTCTTTCTCTCTCGCTTTTTGGTAATTCTTAAATAGTCAACATTAGATGTATGTGATGTATCTTGATATATAGATAAATAATGAGATGTCTGTAAGATATATGTAAAACATATGTAATAATGTATCTATAATATTAGATGCAAGGACAAGTATTTAATAAAATTAAGTAATGTATGTTGACAAAAATTACTAGTAAAAAGTAATTGGAGATATGAATCTATGTTAATTTTGGTGGCAAAGATGAAGTAAAGCAATCATCCATGCTACAAGGCAAATGCGGAAATATTAGAATTAATTTGGGTCACATACAGCTAGGCTTGACATGACAAACAAGGCAGAAAGACTTGACAAACAGAGAATTAGCTCTAGTTATCTGTTGTTTTGGTTGGCATAGAATATGAAAAACTACAGTAGTACACAATTAATTTTTAATTGTTGTTTCTGTTTTGATGACATTTTGGCTGCAAGACATGTTGTGTGAACTACAACAGGAGAACAATATGGTCAATAAGATAATATAAATAATAAGATGGTTGGCAAAATTATATAAATATTATATTATAAAATATAAGCAGAATATTTAAAATATATTTCCCTTCTTACACAAACTATAAAAACTATTAAAAGATTTAGAAATAAAGCTACATATATCACAAACACCACAGAATTTCTTAAATATATAACATTAATTTATCAATTAAGTAATTTACACAACTAATAACCTAGAACATTTAAATGTGAGCTAGATTTCATGTTTTTGGTATAACTATGTTAAAAACTTTGTATGAGATGCACTTCTGCAGTTGCTAGTTAGTGTAAAGCAGTATTTCTGAATTGATTATCATCCTAATTCAAACACTATAAACTGCATAAAGTGATAAAATCTATATTAAATACATTTTAATTTACAATACGTCACGAGTACACTGATCAGCCAAACATTAAAACCACCAGCCTAGTATTGTGTATGTCTCCCGTGTGCTGCCAAAACAGCTCTGATGCTTCAAGGCATGGAATCCACAGGACCTCTGAACATGTTCAGTGTTATCTATTTATTTATTTATTTTTAAGTTTATATTCATTATTCTTTTTTTGTAAATATTTTTTATTGCGATTTTTTTCATATTTTTTCATATTTTTGAAAGAAAGGATGAAATGAGGAGAAACCCCCAGGTTTCAGGTAAATAGTATAACAATTAGTCAGTCGAGATTCGCAGATCTCTGAGTAACAACTGAGAGAGAGACATGCAGGTCTCAAGGCAAACTGAGTGCTCAACGTATATCGTGAATATGTATTGCATTGATTCATATTAACAATTGAATTGCCCTCTTATCTTGGCCTGTCTATGTGCTGCTAATGTGTATTCCCCTGTCGTTGCCTACTCCCGTGAGTTGGTGTTCCCGTGTTGTGGTCTGCCTAGTAATCCGCCTTGTGTTGGTATTCTTGCTGCTGTTGCTGAAGTTCAATCGTTTCAAGGTAGCTGTGAGGGGTACTGGTGTTTCTTTGCCTGACTTGACTCAGGTTTGTTTCGTTTGGTACAGATTTAGGCCGTGGTGTAGGCAGTTTTTGTGTGGTGGTCATGTGTGTGTATCGAGGTGTCCAGGGTCGTGTTGTCAGTGTCCGCCGGTGTGTGGTGTCTTTTCGGTTGCGCTCCTGGGGGATTCTTCGTGTTGTCCTTTGACTATCTGGTGGTGTCCGTGGTTCTGCGACGTGTGTGTCCTGTGTGGTCTCAGGGCTCTCTAGTCTCTGATCGTGTGTATGTTTTCAGAGTCTCGGGGTTGTATCGTCCAGTTTCCCTGCCTTTGGGTCTCACGTGTTCCTCTGGTGTGTGTGGTTTGCTGGTCCCGTTGGTTCCAAGGTGGCCCTGCTGTGGCCTTGTTCCCCTGATTATGGGTTGGGGGGAGTCTGTGTGTCCAAGCCCTGGTGTATCTGTGTGGTGCGTGGTATATAAACTGCTGTTCCTGGGTCGCTTTGGTTGGTGGTGTGTCTACCCTCCCTCTGATCTGGTGGGTGAGGGCCTTGTGGGCCTGTGTTGGCATCTGTGTCTTTTCCATGTCTGTGTATCCCCGTCGGTCTCTGTGGTTTTTTGCATTCTAGTGGTGTAGCGCGCCGGCCCGTCTGCCCCACGCCCCCCGCGTTCCCAAGGGGCACTTCAGTAAACTGTATACCGTCCCTCAGTCGTTTCTAGCCTCTGAGTTGTCGGACATGGCTCTCTCTTCCGCGTCGGTCGCATGGGTCTTGGTGGTGTCATCGTCTAGCGGTTACGCGTGTCCCCTATCCCCCCCCCGCATCTGTCGGACAAGCGTGTGGGGTTGTGCTACTACCACCCCTCCCCCCGGCAATGAACCCGAACCACGGTCTCCACCACTCTGCATATTTTTAGCTCTGCCCCATGAGGGACGCCCTCATACCCTCTGCAGAGCAGATCTCCTCCACTCGGTCGTACCAATGAGTTAGTGTCAGGGTCTGTGTCTGTTTCCACATTGCAGGTATGAGCGCCTTGGCCGCATCCAGTAGATGTCTTAGTATGGATTTTTTGTATTGTGAGATCGGTCTTGGTGTGGAGTGTAGTAGGAATTGCTCCATATTTTGGGGGATCGTTTCCCCAAGGATCTCTGTGATTTTTTTGTTGACCAGTCTCCAGAATGGCTTGATGTTCGAACAGTCCCACCAGATGTGTCTCAGGGTGCCCTCCTCTGTCACGCACCTCCAGCATGTCTCTGAGACGTTAGGGAAGATTCTGTGTAGGTGTGATGGGGTTTTATACCACTGGGACAGGTGTTTGTAGTTGACTTCTTGGTACCGGGAGCTCACTGAAGATTTATGGTGTAGGATGAATATTTTTCCCCGTTGGTTAGGGGTGAATTCACGGTCCGTGATGTGCTCCCAATACCTCTTGAATGTGAGTATTTCCGAGCCGTCCTCCGTGAGGGTGTATTGATAGAGGTATGAGGTTGCCTTGCTGAGATTTGTTTTGGTTAGGCATAGGTTCTCAAATGGCGTTAAGGCCCTATGTGCAGCCGTTCTGTCGTGGAGTGTGTAGTAGAAGTGTCTCAGTTGGGTGTATCGGAAAGTTTGCAGAAATGTCGAGGTGCTGGTGTTGGTGAATTCAGAGAGTGGTTTTATACTGGTGTCATCTAGGACATCACGGAGGGGTGTATATTCTTGATCTCCTAGTATTGCCCAGGCTCTGGCAGTGAGGCCTCCCCCTATTGAGCGGTTGTTGGTAAGTGGGATCATTGTGCTTGGGGAGGTGTGGTGGGTCCGCCACATGGTGTTCCACGTGTGTAGGGTATGAGCCACCAGAGACGTTCTGTCGGGGCCTTGGTCCCAGCCGTCCAGACTGCCTCAGGTATGGATGTATTTCCGACTGCCTCCATCAACGGGATCCACTGTTTATGGGGTGGACGTGAGTGCCATTCCAGTATGCGTTGCAGCACGGTGGCCTGCTGGTATTTTTTCACGTCCGGGAGTGAAGGCCACCCCAGTGTCGTGGTAAGCACAGAGTGTCATGTCGTATCCTTTGGCCCTTCCATACGTATTTTATTATTGTTGATCTTAGAGAGGAGAAATACGCAGCGGGAATCGTCATTGGTAGTGTTTGAAATAAATAGAGCAGTCGGGGCAGGGTATTCATTTTTATTACGGCGATGCGCCACAGCCACGATATGTGTTGGGAGGCCAAGTCGCACAGGTCTCGCTGTATCTAGGAGAGGAGCGGTTTATAATTTGATGTGTATAGGTTGTGCAGGTTCCTGGTGAGCCAGAGTCTGAGGTACTTCATCTTGGACTCGCACCAATGAAATTGGAATTGTGTGCGTAGACAGTCACTTTCTTAGCTAGGGATCGTTATGTTGAGGACCTCGCATTTTGATAGGTTTAGTTTGAGTCCCAAGATGTGTCCATAGGTTGTGAATTCTCTTAGTAGGCAGGCGAGGGAAATTCCGGGTTGCGAGATGAAGAATAGCATGTCATCCGCATATGCTGCTGTTTTGTGCATCGTCCCGTTGGAGTGAAATCCTTTGATGTCACCGTTGTTTCGTATAGCTTCAAGTAGAGGCTCCAGCGTCAGGGCGAAAATCAACAGGGAGTGTGTGCATCCTTGCCTCGTCCTGTTACGGATTGTGAAGGGGGTCGTGAGCGCCCCGTTACGGATTTGGAAGGGGGTCGTGAGCGCCCCATTCACCCTGTCTTGAACGTTAAGTCGGCTGTATATTGCGGCCATCCAGGTGAGCAGGTTGGTGCCAAAGCCCATCTCCTTGAGCAGCTCCAACAGGTAGGTCCAATCCACCCTGTAAAAGGCCTTTTCCACGTTGGTGGAGAGTAGTAGTAGTCGTCCCCTGAACGTTTGGCTAGGTGCTGGTTGGAGAGGGCCCGTAGTGTGCTGTCTCGAGCCTCCCTGCCTGGGACGAAGCCCGTTTGATCCGGGTAGACCAATCTAGGGAGGAACGCATTTAGCGGCTCGACAGGACCTTAGTGAATAATTTAATGTCAATGTTTAGTAGGAAGATGGGCCTGTAGCTGCTGCATAGTTCCGGGTCTTTTCCCAGTTTGGGGAGGATGATTATGGTTGCCGCTAGTGTGTCATCATGGAGTTTGCTCCCCGATGTGAGGGCATTCATTGCCTTGGTCAGTTTTGGGACAAGTGTGTTCCCGAATTTCTTGTAATATTCGAGTGTGAACCCATCTTGTCCCGGGGCCCTGCCCGTCTTTGCTGTTTTGATTGCTGTTCTGATCTCTTCCTCCGTGATGGGGGCATCCATGAGTTCGGCCTCCTCTCTAGTGATGTGATGTGTTTGGCGAGGTGCTGTGCTAGATATTGTTGGATTGCCATCTTTTTAGTGTCTGTTGGGGGGCTGTTGGTGCAAGTTGTATAGTTGTGTGTAGTAGGAGCGGAATTCGTGTGCTATGGTCGTTCGTCTGCCCGCTATTTTCAGCTTATGGACTTGCGCATGTGTTTGCTGTCCCCTAAGCATGCGGGCTAGGAGTTTGCCGCCTTTGTTTGTGTGAATATAGTAGAAGGCCTTCAATCTTTGTCGGTAGTGTTTCTTGAGCAGCAGTGCCTGTAACTGCCTCCGTAGTCCCAGCAGTTCGGTGTATGTGTCCTCCGAGAGTGTTCTTTTGTGGCGCACCTCAATGTCTCCGATTTTGTTGAGTAGTTCTGCCATCTGTCTCTGGGTGTCCTATTTTTTTTTCGTTGCCACTCTTTACAGGAAGTTTTTAGTAAGGCTGTGCAAGTCATGTGCAAGGACTAGGGATGCATAAACAAAGTGATTTAACTCTTAAATGGCAGAGAATTGACCAGTGAGACTGCATGGGCATGATGTGTATATATATAAATATAAAAAAAAAAACTGCTTTATTAAGCTAAAGTTGTTTTGGTGACTGTTATGTCCCTCTAATGTATAAGTGGCTTGAGCATTTTTATTTATCTGTATTGAAACTCCAGAATCATTGCTTAAATTAAAAAGATCAATATAGTCATCCATTCCAAAGCCAAATAAAATCCAATAGCGTAAAGCAGTCTGAAACAAGTTTTTTTTTTTTACTTGTTCTTAAAATACTTTTTATGTTTTCTAAATATGTGGAAATGTTTCTGGCTGTTAGCACGTACTCTAATCACATGTAAAGAATAAAAAATAAAAGCTTACGAATTATAAACCTTAGGCTGTTAACTGCAGTATTTTTAGATATTTCCCTTTTATTTCAGACTGAAATAAACCATAATTATGGGTATCTGTGTGGTTTTATGCTTCCAACTTGAATATTAAATGCTCTTTATTTAACCTCCATTTCCCACAAAATTGTATGTATTGTGTGTCTGAATTGCAAAGTTCTGAAGGAATGTTTAGGAGGAGCCAGAAAATCAAAAAGCCTAAAATTCTTTCGTTTCTCTTTGTTCTCAAAATTATTACTTGTGGGTAACATTTACCAACTCTATTCTTGCTAATTCAACACTTTTTAAAATTTAAAATAAAATAATTTCACGGAAGGAAGAAACGTTTCACATATAGAACAGAATGAACACTATGTCTGACGTTGCTCTAAGCACTTCAAGCTCTTTTCACTAAACATGGTATACATAAAAAAAATGCTGTTAAAATGGCACATTTCAAATACCAAATTTCACTGACTCCCATATTAATAAAAGGGAGGTTAAATCCTCCTGCATGCCCCTACTCACAGCAGGCCACGAGTAGGGGCATGGCGCCTAAACAGTGAGCAGCAAGTGGCTGTTAGCTGTCATTTGAAACTAAATATAAATCAGTACGGGGGTCAGTATGACCCCCATATTGATAAAAGGAAGGTTAAATCCTCCTGCATGTCCCTCCCGCAAGTCGTGGCATGTAGCCTAAACAAATTTAAAAGTACTAGTGACTGGGCAGCTATTGCAATAAGGGGAACAGTAATAACTAAAATGGAGGGGACATAGTGCCCCCACCCGTAACCCACGGGTGGGGGCTATTAATATAAACGGAGGGAGCTAATGCTCCCCCGGTCCTCACCCATGAGCGGCAGGTGGAGGCCCTAATTAATTAAAGAGTGACCTAATTTTCCCCCTGGTCCCCACCCATGAGCGGCAGGTGGGGACCCTAATTAATTAAAGGGGGGACCTAATATCCCCCCCAGGTCGCAAACCCATGACCGGCGGGTGTGGACCACAAATAATAAAGTGACTAGGGGTCCCCAAGCCCCTAATCACTCCCCCCAATAAAAAATACCCTACCCATAATAATAGTGGGGGGCAATAAACTAACCCTGTAAAAAAATGTCATACTTACCATTAGATGTCTTCTTTCTTCTTTCCTTTTCTTTTTTCCGCCCCCAAAAAGGCCAAATAAAAATCCATACCTGTTGCAACTGTTAAAATAATAAGAAACCCAAGCGTGAAAAAACAAAATAAGCCGAAAAAAAACAAAATCCTGATGGTAAACTCATTACATACAGGGAGGTAAACTTTGGGTCACATGGATACTAGATAGCCCCAGGTCCCATCTGGAATCCCTGCAAATTGCGGGGTTATCAGATGTACCGAGCCCGAGATATCATCATCTAAAGTCTGGGGCTCGAGGCTCTGTATATCCCCGAAATGAGTTCCATGGAGTTGGTTGGTTTAGTCTGGCGAATTCAAACTTTGCACCTAAACCAAGCAACAACTAATCGGCTGAAAGGGCACAAATTAAATCGCGCCAATCAGCGCTCGAAGGAAGAGAGGAGGATCGTCGCCCAATCTGAAAAAAGGTCTCGAAACTCGGTTGCACCAATCGGTGCTCGGAGATAAGTGGAGTTTGGCCACCCAATCAGGAAAAAGGGCGAAAATCCCCGTTTGATTGGCTGCCCGCACCCCGCAGCGACCAATCAGCACTCACTCGTGCCGACCAATGGCGCGAACCCAGTTTGAATGGGCGCTCCTTCTCCCATTGGTCAACACGGGCTTCCATGCAGCCAGCGGGACTCTGAGGTCGTGAGTCTGACTCACAGCTCCAGAGATTCCCTGCTGGCGCGCGTACCTTTCTCCGGTGGATATCCATACACAGCCTACCCTCGTAGCTCCTGGGCAAAGGGGGAACCAGTGACTATAGCTCCGTTGGGAGCGGGTAGGACAGTCCCGTACACGGGGACCGGAGACAGTGTGCGTATGCCGGTTTGGGATATGAATGGTGCCCCGGTTGGCATTTGGTTATATGCACCGGAGGCCACTCAGGGGAAGCACGCACCGCTTATTCCCTTGTGGTCTGCGTTTTTCACATCTTAGGTCCCCCCCATTATTTATTTATCTTAGGCCCCCCCTTTAATTTATTAAAGTCCCAACCCATCGCTCATGGGTGTGGACCTGTGGGGGACATTAGGTAACCCCCATTATTTATTTATTTATTTAGGGTCCCCACCCGCCGCTCGTGGGTGGGGATCAGGGTGGACATTAGGTGCCCCCATTTATATTAATAGCCCCCACCTGCAGGTCATGGGTTGGGGTGCCGGAGGCAGTATGCCCCCCCCATTTTATTTATTAGTGTTCCCCACCATGGGGGAACAGGTATTGCACTAGTGACTGGGCAGCAACAGCTGCCCAGTCACTAGTAGTTTTAAATTTGTTTAGGCGACACGCCCCTACTCGCGGCATGATGCGAGTAGGGGCATGCTGGAGGACTTAACCTCCCTTTTATTAATATGGGGGTCATAGTGACCTCCATAGGTTTTAATGAGGTGGGGGGGGGGGTAGGAAATAATATTACAAGGAGGGAGCTGGTAGTGCTGCCAGCTTCCTTCCTGTTGTTTGTTTGTTTTTTCGCGCATTCGCAGTGTTATTCCCCAGCAGCACAGAGTCTATGAAATGAACGAAACAAAACCATGTTTGGCTATTTAAATTGATTAGGATCCATGAGTCTAATTACCAGTTGTTGGAAAGTGAGGTTGATGTTTTAAAAATGTTGCCAATTGTGAAATTGGAAAAGGATCTTAATGTAAACTATACCCCCTATAAATGGTACCACACTACTATTCAATTAAAAAAATATTAGAACTACACCTAAAGATTTTATACGGATGGTGCCAGGATCCCTCTAAACCAGTGTTTCCCAACCCAGTCCTCAAGGCACACCTAACAGTCCAGGATTTAGGGATTACCCAGTTGTGTCTAAGGTGTTTTTACAAAGAAGAAAAAAAACACCTTAGACACAACTGGGTAATCCCTAAATCCTGGACTGGTAGGTGTGCCTTGAGGACTGGGTTGGGAAACACTGCTCTAACCTACATTAAATTTATGAAGCTTACTCACTTATATGCTGGAGATGTAATAAAGACATTGGCGCATCACTTCATATATGGTATACCTGTGAAGTATTAAATGATATCAAGGCACATATATCTTCTCTGATAATTCAGGATACTATAATATTCACACCTTCTATTTAATCTAGATTTCCCAATAATGGAGAAAAAAAACAAATAGCTAATTACACATATTCTGAGCGCTTTTAAGATTTCTATAGCTCGGAATTGGAAATCCAGTCATCCTCCATTATGGAAAGAAATAATACAACAAATATAATACCAATATACAATGGAATGGAATGTTATTACTTCTTCTGGAAAATGTATTTCTTATTGTAACTTATAGCACTGATTTGCGTGCAAAAATAAAACTAAAGTAGTTTAGAAAAAGAAAAAATAAATGGGAAAAGAGAAGGGAAAGAGTAAAGAAAAAGTGGAAACAATGGTATAGGTTGATTAGAATTAATACATTGTTGTTCCATGATAAAAGGCAAACCCTTGGATATAAAATCCCACATACTTAATATCGGCCCCCAATTGCTGCAGTTCCTATTTGTGTATGTTCTTTTGTTTTTTATGATCTTTGTAGATTGCCTTAAAATTTGTTATATCTATGTATATGGCTTATACTAAGTTATCCCTATATTTCAATGAAATATTGGATTTAATTGTATTCTATTTATTTTTGGCAATATTGTTAAGATTGAAAACTAAATAAAAAAGAAGAAATACAAAAGAAGAAGAAATGTACAGTGGGTGGTGGTATATGGGAAGGTGTGGGTGTATGGGACTAGTATATACATATACATACATACATACATACATACATGTATGTGTATAGACACATCGGTATGGGGGAATGTGTATGGATGAATGGGCATGTATATGCGCAGCTATCTGGTCCGGGTGGATCCTCACCAGTGAAACCAGAATTAATATTATTTTTATATTGACTATAGATAAGATCATCATGATGGGCATTCATGTTATTATTGTCTATCATATTTGATACAGAAACTATATATTATAAAAATGCAAAAAAAATTATATATCTCTAGGGTGTCACTAGATATAAGTTCGTACAATGGTTCTGGTTTTCCTGGTGGGGATTTGTTTGGATTGGATAGGTGCGCATGTGTGTACATATTTGTTTGTACATGTTGTTTTATACCCATGTGTTTATATTATTATTATTATTGCCATTTATATAGCGCCAACAGATTCCGTAGCGCTTTACAATATTATGAGAGGGGGGATTTAACTATAAATAGGACAATTACAAGAAAACTTACAGGAACAATAGGTTGAAGAGGACCCTGCTCAAACGAGCTTACAGTCTATAGTTATATATGTGTATGTGTGTTGTGTATATGTGTATATTGGTCTTGTGTGCCTGTGTTTTCTTGTATATCACTATCCATTGTATATTTCTTCATACCTTTATATGTGATCATCAAAAAAAAAAGAACATATATAAAATTGATCTTTTTAAAGGACTGAAAGAGGCTAACTTGAAGAGTAACCCTCATGGGGTATGTGCTAACAGAGGATACCACTGGCAAACAACAATCAGGAGCAGTAGCAACTTGAAGAGGATTTAAAGTGAATCCCGAATACAGCCCGAGGATATTACACTTACTTAGCTTTATGTAATTATTTAGAAAGCATTTTACCAGGAAGATTTCTTTTATTTTCAAATATATTTTAGAAATATTTTTCTCTTGTTTGACATTAGATTTCTCACTTCGCTCTTTATGTGAGATATTTTAGCATTTTCTTCACAGTTGAAAAACGCATTGCAATATTGTTCATGCACAGCTTCTTCCACCTTTCTCACTGTGTATTTTTTGTTGGAGAGTTAGAACATTTTAGTTTATTGCGCATAAAATTAACCATTTAAAGAGCATTTTATGGTTGAATCAAAAGTCATTTTCAATTCTTCCCTTTTGATAGTGAGATGGAACATTGTCTCTGAATTCTATGGCAAAAGCATATTTTCTTTGAAGTTGTTATTCTTGAATATTGAAATGCATCACAAATTAAATGTGGGATGTTTGAATTTCTTATGGGATTTCAAAATTAGAAGAATGACTGCTTAAAAGGCTGCCCAAGAAGATGTTATGGACAAAAAAATAATGTTTTGTAATTCACTACTCAAATCTTTAGCTATCTTTTTTTCTGTTTTTCAAAAGGAACAATTTGAAGAATGTATATTTTTTTTTAGTTTTGCAATTTCATTAAATTGTAAGTGGTTTTTAACATTTATTAAGTCTTGTTGGTTGGTTTTCCATCATAGAGTAACATTTTTAAGCATTAAGTGAACGAACATTTTGGTACATTTGCCTCAGAGCAGTAAAGCTGTGGCTTGCCACTGAAAAGTCACTCTGAACCTTGTGTCTCGATGTTTATCTATGGATAGTTATGACAAAGTATGATTTGCTGAAGTTGCATAATAAATGTTGACTTTTAGGGATTGCACATGTAGTGCAACTGGGGAAAGAAACAATGCACAAAATATGTAGAGATGGCTGTAACACATAATACCTTTATTTCGTCATTTAAAATTCAAGGCTGGGACTTACAGGAAGGAGAAGATGATGATGCTTATGCATTTCGTGCCTCATGGCTACTTCATCTGAGATTTCTCTGGTAGAGTTTCTATGAGGCACAAAACTCGTAAGCATGATCTGTCATGCGAAGACCGGGACCCCTGTGCCTGATGTAGACGATGAGAATGGTCTTCAGTGTGGAAGTGGATAAGTAGGGCATGGTGCAGGGTAACCACATGCCCCGTGATGTTGAGCAAGACACTGATGCAGTTTATTCAGAAGCCAGAGCAGATGAATGCTGAAATATATCTAGTACTAGAAACAAGGACTAGAATAGGCACCAAACAAGAAAACAAGACAAAACTAGAAGATCCCAGAACCAGAGAAGGATAGAAAGCAGAACATGTACACACTACATAAGGGAAACATTAACAGAACAGGGGCAGGACAGGACTGTACATGGACTGGGAATACAATATAAAACAAGACAAGCAATATAAGGAAAAACAAAACTAAGTACTATATATGTAAAACATTGGAGATTTAGACATACATAAATGGCCAAGATATATGCAGCCCTGCCATGAACAAAATTAAAAAAAAAGATATTATGTTTTATATTAATCTATGCGCAATTTGGGTATTGTTTTTCCATGTTTATTTGGCTGTCTAGAGTTTTAAACTATGGTTAGTTGCCTTTGTTGCAATCTTGTCTCCTGACTTCTGAGAGCAGATGGCACCAGTTGACCATTTCAAGTGGTCAAGAGTCTCAAGTAGGACTGCTACTCTTGGTATTTTGTCTACAGAATGTAATGGGGCCGTTTAGGTCAGTTTTCTCAGTGCTAGCAGAGGATGCTGGATCACTTTAGACCCAAAACTGGTCTGAGGGTCTCTGGATAATGCTTTCCTGGATAGGGCAACCATGGTTATAGCTCTGCACTGGTTACAGCTCTCTGTAGTGGTTATAGCTCCTTGCATTGGCAATAATTCTCTACTCTGGAGACCCTTTCTCCTGTAAAACAGTGATTATAGATAGCTTTCCCCCACACATTAGTCGAGACTGAATGTAGGGGAGTAAGATCCAGCTTTATTGAACACAACACAACTATTTATTCACAGCAATGTGGACTTCCACACCAGAGGGTACTCCATGCAATGCAATGGCCTTTGCAATAGTCCAACACGAGAGCCACTGCTGTGGCTTCCCCAAACATAGAGCCAAAATGTCCCACAAAAAAAACTTTTTTCCTTGACAGTACCCCCACACAGTATACATCCAAGCACCTATACTGTCCAAAATGCGACCTGATTGGAGAATCTGCACCTGAGTTACAGCATGTTAAAGTTTTACTGGGTCGCTGCTATTCTTTTATCCGGCTAAAAGTTGCAGGCAGTCTGCTGGTTTGTCCTGGGCTCATAAAAAAGGGTTCTTGGGCTCCTGGGAGCTGGGAGGCCTGTACCCTCAAACAATATATATTCTGGAAGAGCTCTCCTCTGAGTGCCCATACTGTCCAAATAGTGACCCGTTTGAAGAATCCAGCACTAGGTAATAGTGTGTTAAACTTTGACCATCAGCGCCATTCTCTGATCTGGCTTCGAGTTCCAGGCAAGCAGCTGATTAGTTCCAGTCTTAAAAAATGGGGATCCTGGGGCTCTGGGGTGGACAGCACCCCACATATTATTATATATTCCTGGATAACTCTTCACTGAGCACCCTTTCTGCATGGTGGTCGTGGGACAGAGAGATACATGATCAAAGATTCACCAGATCACAGCACAGTCCCAATTCCGACAAACCGTTCCAGAGTATTTCAAGGTCTCCCAGACAAGCGATCGATGCGTAGGACAAATCCAGGCAATCCCCAGAGGACCCCAATTCCCCTTGCCATCGTGATAATAGCCCTTTTTAGTCCATGTAGGAGTGGGGTTCCATAAATCAGGGTTTTTGATAGACTAAGGCAATGTGATACAAAAGACTGGACATACTGAATTCTCAAAAGAAATTTAATAGAAAAAGCAAAGTAGAAATTAGTCTGCAAATAGACGTGGACCCTGCAATTCTGGTTACAACTTGTAGTGTGGATCTTTAGTGATTACTTTGTAAAATTACTTGTTTACATATATCACAAAAGCTTGCTTAAGAGATTGGGCAAATTGTCACTTATAAATCCATGTTATTTCAAGACAGAGGTTATTTGCTAATAAACACATAGTGAAGTAGTAATCTGTATGAATTGATAAGATTGGATTGAACCAATGCTCTTAGATGTGAATAGCTTTGGAATAATGTATTTCCCTTGAAAAGAAAAAGATGTTTTGTTTTTAAACAGTAACAGTCGTTCTACAACGTGACACATCAGTCTCTGCGTGGCAATTAAATATCTCCCTTATGTGTGTCTCATTGACTATTTGTAAAGAGGGCAACAAAGGAGGTCATTGGGAAGAGTTATTGCTTTGGCTAATATTTCCATAGAACATTTTCTATATGATGATCTTTATTTCCTCAGCACTACAAAGCAAGCATTTATAGCCTGTAGAATTAATGGAAAGAAAATTTGAAGGCATTGAAGGCAAACATAGTCAGTAGTTTCTATGTTCGTATTTATAATAATCACAAATAAATGAGATCTTTATTATAATACTATAAATACATTTGATGTAAGATAGACATTTGAAAAAAAAGATTTATTACAAAACCTGCCAAAACCTGCTTTTCTAGGTCTTAGTTATTGTATAATTTTATAGTCCTACAAACTAACCTGATGAAATGTATAACTGTATGTTTTACGTCTGTTACGTATTTGACGGGATGAGTCCAGGAGGCAGGAATCAGCCAAGTCAAAGTACCAAAGAGAAAGCCAAATGCGTAATCAAGGAAATCCAGGGGTCAGGTCAGGTCAGGTGGCATGGTTTCAGAGACAGTAGAACAGGCAGAGGGTCAGAGTTAGATAAATCATACAAGGCAGGATAGGCAAACTGAGGTTAACACCACAGTCAGCACAGTAGAACTGAACAATGAGGTAGAGGTAGACTGAAATTATATAGGGGAGAGGATCCACCTCTTACATTCTATTGGTTAAAAGGTGATTAGTCCTTTAAACAATTTCAGGTGTACTTGCTGTGGGTCGCAGTGTGGTGTGGAGAGCCGTGGCACCACGTCTATTTGTTGCAGGGATGCCCGTTGACTGCACACGCAGCTGGGCATACCGGAGCCCTTGGTGTGCACCGAGGGGAGACCACTGTAGCCACGGGCACAGATGCAGCGGGGGACCTACAGGAAAGTGCGGTCATGACAGTATGCTAATGCGTCCATAAACCTCGTTACATCCAACAACATGTGCTAGTAGAAAACTAGTATATGTCTCGGATCGGGTATCCCCTTTCACAGGTCATATACTGAAGTGGAGCGCTAAGAAGATATTCCACACATATATTTTACTTACATACAGTATGTGTAACTGATGATATTCAGATACATAGGAAAAAAAACAAGCAATAACATAGTATAATTCCTCTATGTATATTTCAAAACCTTATCCTTAATCAGGATTAAACTCACATTGATAAGAGCCTCACGTAAGGATAGGCTCAAATCACACACGCTCCTGTGCATTATGGTGGCACTTTACCCTTTATAATCTTATCAGCGGTGATCCTCAAAAGAAAATAGAAAGTAGAGAACTCTCTGGTGAAGTATATCCCAACAGCGATAATATGGCAAATAAACCAAAATGATCTGCTCACCTTGTTTAGAGCCTTATATGCCTGGCTCTAGGTATATGCACCTAGGTGTCTGTATAGGGGACACCCACCCTTCTTTGCAAAGAAGTAGTAGTCCAGGAAGATGAGAGGGGACTTTTCAAAACAATTTATTGAATAAAAATAAAAATGAAGCATAAAATATCAGTAAATAAAATCTCTATAAAAATGGCCATAAACGACTCCTTATCTGAAATGCGTTTCACCCAGTTCTTTGGGCTTTCTCAATCGGTCCATAACTTCCTACTTACTTTCAGGCATTATATACCCCTCCTCCACAGCCTAATTGGTCGTCTCAAATTCCAATTAAGCAATCCGTAGATCATTATGCCAATTATGTTCCAGGTGTGTCCAGACGGAGACCGAGAGTACCGCCTTCCTCCCTTTCACTTCCGGTTCTCGCACTTCACATTCCCCTAAGGGTATCTGGGACGCGACAGATCCTTACTGGAAGTGACATAACGGGACGGACTCAACGTCACCCTCCTACCGTCTGTAAACCCGATGCTAGTTGGGAGATGTACTCCATATCGATCATACCAATGCTGCACTGTTTATTCTCGACCAATCAAAGTGATATAGGGATATAAACAAAGAACATAGATTCAGTAAAAAATACAAAATGAGAGATAAATCCATAACATAACTTGCCTCATTCATACAGCTTTGATCTATTTCATTTAACCCAGTGTAAAAAGGTGCTCAGGAAAATCCATAAAAGTGTGTGTTTAAAGATGTATCCACTTTTTTAACACTTTTATGGATCAAAAATGGCCAGTATAAAATCTGAAAGTGCACAAAAAAATGTATATACACAAAGTGCACTGAGTAGGTATATATATACTTTGAACACATTATTTTGTACACAACATGTGCTAGTGCTAACTTTTATTTTTCAAAGCAAAACAACAAAAAAACAGCAAAATTTAAAAAAACTAACACTCATTAATACCATAGAAGTGTCCTGCACAATGATGGCAGTGTATTATAAGGATGTACACTGTGGCCTTTAAACAGTTTTTAGTCAGTGATACCATATGGTAAATTATGAATTTATTATAGCTATCGTGTTATTTATAATTACATTGTTCAACAATGAAAATGTTTCTGACTTGAACATACTTCTAATTGATTTCAGTATGTGAAAAACAAAAGCTCTGTTAGTTCTCAGTTCCGAGATATAGCACATTTATGATGATGTAGGGTATAGATATAGAGTAATTGGTGTGGCAAACCTGAGTACATGAATAGTGAGTCACTGTAGGTCCTTTTTTATTTATTGTCTTTGTATAGAATGCATGAAGTGAAGGTTAGAGTGCTGTTCCTTTCATTATGTTCAGTTTTGTGGTTACACTTTACGTTAAAATCCAGGATGCCATGTAAATGTGTTAAATGATCATTTTTGTTATGCGTGTGGTGATGTTATTTTTTCCACCAGAAACACCCAATTACTACAGTAATGAAGACAGCATACCAGCATTATTTTGGTCTCTGGGTAGGGAATCAGGACACATCCTGGGGACCTCATATTTGCTGCAATACATGTTCTGTGAATTTACGTGAATAATTAATATTAAATAAATAACGATGTTCAATGACCTTTGCCAACCAAATTATTTCAGGATCATACAAATAGCTGGTATTTCTGAATGGTTCTTCCTATTGAGCATGGCATGTGAAGAAAAAAGTAGTACAAGAGTTTGGAATACCCCAACATCCCATCAGCTATGTGACTAGAACCACATGGGGACAATCTACCTATACCTCAAGCTGCCAAATGTACAGGAACATTGTAAAAGAGAAATCACCTGAGCCTTCATCATCAGAGGATCC